CTTGAGAGTTGGCGCCTTTGGTGATTCTTTGGGCTGGGGTTTGAGTGGGGACTGAAGGTTCAGTCTACGGTTGAGAATTGGTGAGATGGAACCAAGGGGCTTGGCCAAGTTGGCCACAGTTTTTTTGGGACTTTGGTTTACAGAGAGCAGGAAATCCTCCTTAGTGTCAACAATGACTGGAGCTGCAGTTGATTTGGACTCAACGATTAGCTCCTCAAATTCAGAGTCATTGTCTCTGTTATCAGATATGTCCATGGTGGTTATTGGGGCTGGGTCCTCCTCGTAACCCCCAGGCTGATGAAGATAACTGGGCTCCTCCATTGGGCCTAGGGTTTCTTGGAGTGTCCCCAAGCCCACAGTAGGCACCTGGTGCCGGACTGGCCTCTCATATAAGACTATCACTCTTTCTCCAGCTTGTTTTAGCAGCTTCGGCACTTGGACAGAGGATGTCACTTTGACTCCTATGCAAATAGACATGAAGAATGATTGATGCTTTGCAAATCTATTATAAAATCTTACAAAATTGTCCATCAAATGAACTATCCACAAAGTCAAACATTCCATTTGAATAGTAAAAAGTAAATGTAAGTCTAACCTCCAATAGCAATGAGGCGATCTCCTCTCTGTAAGTCTGCCAGGGAAGCTGGGGAGTTTGGGGTGACAGTCTCTATGCTCACATGCACCGTGTCACCATCACTGGCTGGGACATGCCTGAACGTCATTCCCACGCTCCCAGATGGTCCTTTGATCACCTCAGTCTGCAACAGACAAAGAGAAACAATATCAGTTTTGCTAATAATCTTAATGAAAAGGTTGTGTAATTGAAGAAACTTGGGATTGACAATTATAATTAGATTCCAAGTAGATTTGTAAATTGTAATTGTAATCTTTTCTTTATTGCAGGTGTTGTTCTGGCATACATTACTTTAAGTCATAAGACCACCAAGTGGGACTGGATTGGAAAGAAGTTGTTAGGGGAAGCTTTTGTTACTAGCTGAGAGGAACACTAGCAGTTAAGCCAAAAGACAGTGTTTCTTAAAGCTTATCTTTTATCAGCAACAGCGGTTTATAATTAGGGCGGACAACCTACATTATGATGTGAACAAGTCAGCCTTCACTTTCTATAGAAAGCTCTCTCTTCCCATCACATCTAACAATTTTCATGGTGATAAAACAATGCTCTCTAAAACGAAGGAAGGGAGGTCTGCAATTACCGCTAATTTCACTGCAAATGTGCCACAAAGTAGCAGCTGCTGTTTCAGGGCTGGCTGCATCACAAAGCCTACATCAAAAAATCCACCTGCAGGTCCACCTGCACCTCGGGGTGACACCATACAACAACAGGTACATATAAGGAGCAAGTTAGTGTACCAAAGTGAGGAAAAATTCCACTAGATCCACCAAGAGACAAGAATGATAATCTGGACTGTATAATAGCAGCACAAATACCAGTGATTGTTTTTCATTGATCTTTCCATGATATGTCCTCTGTGCCTCCCTTGTTCTCTCTCTGTCGTCTGTGCTGGGGGTGGGCAAAAAAGACAGGATGCAGATCTAAGCTGCTGAGATGGATGACTGTAATTTTGCTTCTGTCATTTGTTATAACCCTTGAGAAGGGCACTGATTGAGTTAAACATGGGATGAAAAAACAGACAATCTACTCAAGTTGGCAAGCAGAAGACTGACATGCCCAGTTTTGACCAATGACTGTCTATAGAAACATTCAAGAACCTTCTGAAATTTCTTAGAAGGCAACTTACAAAAAACACCCAAATTCAACCGTATAAAACTATAATATTTAGTTTCAACTATAATATCTATCTATCTATCTATCCATCTATCTATCTATTATCCTTCCATGGCAACTATAAACAGATTATAGTTAGACTAGCAAACTCTATTACTATATTATGTATGTGTATATAGTCTGAATATTATATTATTAATACATCTAACCATTTAACATTGATATCTTATAGTGCTATTGCCATTGTGCCACTGATCAAACATAAAAATAATGTTTTATTTGAATATTTACTGTTTAAAATGGTCAAGTGAACATCACAAAAAATGGTTAAAACTGATTCATCAAATTATTTCAAAGCATGCTTTTTACATAATAAATTGCTTTGCCACTGAACGAAGGCATTTGTGGTAGCCTTAAGGAGTAAGAAATGAGACAAGGGGAGAACACTTGTGCCAATACTATTTGCATACATGTCAGCTAACTGAGATGCTGAAGATAAGTTTGTTTATAACAGACAAAATAAATACACATGAATCTTAATGACTGAAGGGCTGCTGTTAAACCCTCCACAGAGATGATTCATTCTGAACATTTCCTCCCTCAGGACACAACCTGATCCCACCCTTTACACGTGTCAGAGAGGGTTCGTGGGAGAAAAACAAAAGCTCCAGGCTTTTTTGAGGACACTGTTGGTCTTTTACCAGCATGTTTGGGATAATTCATTGCAACCTGTTCAAGATAGAGAAAAAAAAATGAAAGCAAAGCGTATGTAAGGAATATTCTTATTCACCACCGGTGTAATTCAGAATAAAAGTGATATTCTAGATTTAATGAGTTAAATTACTGAAACAAATACGACAAACACAGAAAACAAGACACCATTGTTTGCATGGTGGACAAAGGGCTGTTATCTAGAGATGGCTTTCATCTGATATTAACCATAACAAACACAAAAAATTACTTCCAAACATCCAGATCAAAGTCTTCTGCTACAGGAACATGTTGTACCTCAACATCAGAACTGGTTGGACCTACATTATATGATGCCTTGAGTTTAAGACTGAATGAGCAACATTTGGTCAAGTTATCTGCATAAAAGAATATGACCACAGACATAATTGCAATAAAGTCCACAACTAAATTGCAATTACAGTAGAAAACAACAGGATTTGACTTAAACCAAAAATAAATAAAACAGCAACTAGCAGAGGGTGAAAGACACACCTGCTCTTAACGTGCACCTTTGTTTTCCCACTTTTAGAACGGCAAAATTACAAGGTTTAAAGACAGAGAGAGGGAAGAAATGAAAGAGAGAAAGAAAGATTTGTCTGACACTGGAACCAAACGGCGACATTGAGCGGCAATTACAGGCGATTTCTGTAGCTGAGCAGTGGCTAAGGGGTAATTACACAACCATGGAAAGGCACAGCAGGAGGAACGCTCACACACTCACTGTGTGCGCTACTGTGTGTCTGCGTGTGTTGAGTGCAGGTAAACGGACTGCTGCCGCTCCGACTGGTACGTGAGGACGCTGTTCATGAGTCAATTTGCCGTTCGTCTCACCTCATCACCACAAGGTTCACAAATACACCCTCACATCGAGTATCAGGGAAATATAAAACAGCTTTTCAACAACAAACAAACACAGGGGGCCTGTGGGACATTTTCAGGTCAGTTCCACTGATTACAGCATAAATGTCAGAATTAACACACAATACTCACATAACAGTACACATTCAATAGAACCACGAGGAAAAACAGGCCTGCAGATGATAAAATGAAATGTCATTATTTATTCACTCACATGTCATGCCAATCACATATGACTTACTTCTGTGAAATATAAATGATGAATAATGTTCTGGTTCCCACAATGTGGAATTGGGTGAGCAAGCTCTAAAAAGGGCACAAAAAAGTATAAAAGAAAAGTACTCCACACAACTCATGCACACAATTACATGCCTTCTGAAGGCCTACATGTATTTTGTTCAGATTTGTAGTTGCCCTGCCAATATTATTTTAACATATTAGCAACATATCTTTTTTATAAAAAAAATAAATAAATAAATAAATAAAAATTTGCAATTTTAAGCAACTGTAGCTAGACATTTTGGTAGAATATATAACATAATTAACACCTTTATTCAGCAAAGATGTATTAAAATCTACCAAAAGTGACAGTAAAGTTCAAAAAATTCAAATGATCAGTGTTCTCACAAAAAATATTAAGCAGCACAACTGTTTTCAACATTCAGAATTCCTTAATTAATAGAAGGTCCAAAGAACAGCTTTTTATTTGAAATAGAAAGTTTATATAAAAGTATTTACTGTCACTTTTGGTCAATTTATTGTCTCCTTGCTGAATAAAAGCAGTGGTGTATAAAGTACCTGAAAGCCACACTCAAGTAAAAGTACAGATATCTTACCAGAAAATGACTTTGGTAGAAGTTGAAGTCACTGTTTACACAATTACATGCCTTCTGAAGGCCTACATGTATTTTGTTCAGATTTGTAGTTGCCCTGCCAATATTATTTTAACATATTAGCAACATATCTTTTTTATAAAAAAAATAAATAAATAAATAAATAAAAATTTGCAATTTTAAGCAACTGTAGCTAGACATTTTGGTAGAATATATAACATAATTAACACCTTTATTCAGCAAAGATGTATTAAAATCTACCAAAAGTGACAGTAAAGTTCAAAAAATTCAAATGATCAGTGTTCTCACAAAAAATATTAAGCAGCACAACTGTTTTCAACATTCATTGAGCAGCAAATCAGCATATTAGAATGATTTTTGAAGGATCATGTGACACTAAAGACTAGAGTAATGGTTGCTGGAAATTCAGCTTTGCCATTACAGGAATTTTTAAAAGATATTAAAATACAGAATTTACTTTATATTTTACAATATTTATGTTTTACTGTATTTTTGAGCATAAGAGACTTATTTTAAAAACATTCACGTTCTATCATAACATACAGTGGGTACAGAAAAGAATCACCCCCCTTTACAATAAATCACATTTTGAAATGAAATGAAGACAGACACAGTTTTTGTTTCATCCAGCTGTATTTACTCAGTGCAACTTATACATCCAAGTGAAAGATATAACACCAACCTGTCAGAAAAAAATAAAAATAAAATAATAATAATAATAAACAGAATCAACCAGAATGCTGTTATTAGGATGGTGAGCTGTATTGGATTTCCGCCAGACATATCGTTTGATGTTGAGGATAAATAATTCAATTTTAGTCTCATCTGCTTCAGAATCTTCAAGGTGTGTTTTGGCAAAGCTCAGTCTGAATGCATGCCCTTACCAAAAAGTACTATACCTCAAGTTTATTTTATTGTAATCAAAATGACCACAGCTTATCACAGTTGAAAGTCAAATGGTTTTGTGTGCCACTGAGAAGGTGATTAGCTAATTAAGATACCATGTCATTTTTAGGAGGGGGTGATCCTTTTTCCAGCTGTGATTCTGGTTTTCTATTTATTTATTTTTTTCTGACATGTTGGTGTTATATCTTTCACTTGGATGTTATAAGTAAATACAGCTGGATAAAACAAAAACTGTGTCTGTCTTCATTTCAGGCTGCAAAGCAACAAAATGTGATTATTTTAAAGGGGTGATTCTTTTCTGTACCCTCTGTACAATCAAATACTGAAGTTAAATAAAAATGTAAAAGATCAACAAATTTGTTTTCCATGGAAGATAGTATGTCAAATGAGGTTGGAATAACGTGAACGTGAGTAAATATTGACAAAGTAATCTTAAAAGCTTTACTCTGAATTGAAAAAAAAAGGTCACTTTATTTTAAGGTCCAATTCTCGCTATTAATTAAATATTAACTATGACTTTTGCCTCAATAAACTCCTAATTACTGCTTATTAATAGTTAGTAAAGTAGTTGTTAAGTTTAGGTATTGGGTAGGATTAGGGATGTAGAATATGGTCATGAAGAATATGTGCTTTATAAGACCTAATAAATAGCCAATATGCT